TTCATTGATATGACCCTTTTGGCACTAAATGTTGTATCATCCTGTAGGTGCCTCATAAATAACTCCCTCACCCTAGCTGGGTTGGCACAGTGGATAGAGAGTTGGCCCATGGGTTGAAGGGTCCCAGGTTTGATTCCAGTCAAGGGCACACACCTCGGTTGCAGGCTCGATCCCTGACCCCGGTTCAGGCACGTGCAGGAGGCAACCAATCTATTTCTCTCTATCACATTGATGTTTCTCTCTGTGTGTCTCTCCCCATCCCTTCCACTCTCTCTAAAACTCAATTGAAAATATCCTTGGGTGAGAATTAACTAAATAAATAAATATACAACTCCCTCTCCCCAACAAGGGTTGGTAAAGTAAGGCACTTGGAAAATGTAATACTCACATCCTCCCACAACCATATCAAAATTACAACTAAACTGCAGAATAACTATCATTCAGAACCACCTGAAATTTAGCTGAATGGAAGTCCTACAACTGAGGATTTAAAGAAGAAGCCACATTGAGACTGATAGGAGGGGTGGAGATGCAGAACAGGATGGTCCCACACCCACGTGAAGTGGATAAATATTGGGAGGGATATCTCCACTGCAGTGATCCCCCCTGAAGAGCAAGGGACACCTAGCCTCCCTGCCCAGGGTTCCTGTGTCAGAAAGAGGAGTCCCCATAAGTTCTGGCTATAAAACCAACAGGGATTGTGGCTGAGTGAGACAGAGAGCTGCTGGAGTCCCAGTCAGTTCCTATTAAAGGGCCCTCACAGATTTATTACAACTCATTCTTTCTGAGTTCCAGCGCTGGAGCAGCAGCTTGAAAGGCACCAGGGACATATGGGGAGGAACTGAACTGTCTGGCATCAGGGCAAGTGGAGGGGAAGCTTTCTCCACACCAGAAGTGATGGCAGAGGCCATTGTTCCTTTTCTAAGCCATCCCCCCACAGAGCCAGCAGGCAGGTGCCATACCTGAGTCTCCACCAACCTGATTTATGCTGGTCAGCCTGCCCTCATGATTCCCCAAGACCCCACCTCACCAACTTGCAGGCCCACCCATGCTTCTTCCAGTGGCTTTTCCATATGAATGGCCTCTTGGCTCATATTTCAGACTTTCATAAAATCAAACGAGCAGTATCTGGCCTCAATGTACCCTGCACCATTAGCTAAGTGGCTCCAGGCCTAGAAGTAGCAGCAACTGGCCTTGGTTCGAAGCTTGGCCTCTCCTAGGCACCTCCAAGCCCTGCACAAGTAGCAGCCATCTGTAGATTGCTTTGTAGGTTATGCCAGATGACCCTAGGCAGAATACAGGCAGGCTGACCTTGGCATGCATCTCTCAGAGTAGCGGACTTCATGGACCACTGGTTGGCGACCACTGTTCTAGAGGCCCCAGAGCCAGTGCACCTAATAGACAGCTTCAGACCATGTTGAAGCACCATCCATCCATCTCCATAAGCAACACACTTAAGGGGGACACTCAGTGGGCACCAGAGCTCCACTGAAGTAAGTCCATGGGGTGGGGCCCTGCATCGCAGCCAGTTTTTATAGCTGATAGGCCTTGGGATAAATTACTGCCATTTACGTGCCAACAACAATCAAGGCTCAAATACAACAGGAGGGTATTCATGGCCCACATGGGGTTGGGGTAGGGGGCACACCTGGAGTGTCCAGCTTGGGTGAACCTGGAGACTGTGCCACTGGACCCCTACAGGACTTACTACATTGGGTCACTCTACCAAGCCCAGGAGATGTGGCAGCTTTACCTAATACATAGAAAAAACGCAGGGAAGCTCCCAAAATTAGGAAACAAAGAAATGTGTTCCAAATGAAAGAACAGAGTGAAACTCCAGAAAAAGAGCTAAACAAAGTGGAGACAAGCAATCTATTGGATTCAGAGTTCAAAACACGGGTTATAAGGATTTTAGTGACTTAGGGAAAGAGTAAATGAACTTAGAGCTTTAACAGCATAAAAAATGTCATGGAAACCATAAAAAAACAAACAACCAAAACAAACAGACCAGTAAGAAATGAAGGATACACTAACTGAAATGAAGAATAATTTATAGGGAATCAACAGAGTAGATGAAGCCAAGAAATAAAACAGTGACTTGAAATGTAAGGAAGGGAAAAAGAAAGAAGAAAGAAAGAAAAAGAAAGAAAGAAAGAAAGAAAGAAAGAAAGAAAGAAAGAAAGAAAGAAAGAAGAAAAGAGAGAGAGAAGAAAAGAGAGAGAGAGAGAAAAGAAAGAAGAGAGAGAGAGAGAGAGAGAGAGAGAGAGAGAGAGAGAGAGAAAGGAAGAAAAGAAAGAAAAACCCACCTAATCAGAATAGCAAAAAGCAAAAAAAAATTTTTTTAAATAAGAATAGTGTAAGGTGCCCTGGCCGGTTTGGCTCAGTGGATGGAGCATCAGCATGCGAACTGAGGGGTCCCAGGTTCAATTCTGGTTGGGGGCACATGCCCGGGTTGTGGGCTTGACCCCCAGTGGGGGACTTGCAGGAGGTGGCAGATCGGTGATTCGCTCTCACCATGGATGTTTCTGTCTCTCTCTCCCTCTTCCTTCCTCTCTGAAATCAATATATATATGAATAGTGTAAGGAGCCTATGGGATGACTTCAAGTGTACTAATATTTGCATCATGGGGGTTCTGGAAGGAGAAGAAAGCAAGAAATTGAAAACTTTTCTAACTTGGTGAAGGAAATAAACATACAAGTCGAGGCAGCGCAGAGAGTCCCAAAGAAGATGAACCCAAAGAGGCCCACAGCAACACACATAATTAAAATGCAAAAGGTTAAACACAGAGGGAATCCAACCCTGGCCGGGTAGCTCCGGTGGATGAAGCATTGTCCTGATGTTCCAAGGTTGTGGATTTGATCCCTAGTCAGGACACGTACAAGAAGCAACCAATGAATGCATAAATAAATGAAACAACTCAGTGTTTCTCTCCTGCTCTCTCCCCCCCCCCTCTTTCTCTCTTTCTCTAAGTCAATAAATAACATTTTAAAAAATTATTTTTTTAAAAGAGAGAATCTTAAAAGCAGCAAGAGCAAAGCAGTTAACTACCTACAAGGGAGCTTCCTTAAGACTCACAGCTGATTTCTCAACAGACACTTTGCAGGCCACAAGGGAGTGGCAAGAAATATTCAAAGTGATGGAAATCAAGGACCTACAACCAAGATTACTCTACCCAGCAAAGCTATCATTTAGAATCAAAGGACTTATGAAGAGCTTCCCAGACAAGAAAAACCTAAAGGAGTTCATTACCATCAAACCTGTATTACATAAAATGTAAAGTGTTTTCTTTAAGAAGAAGGAAAAAAAAAAGCTAAAAGATAAGAACAATAAAATGGCAATAGATACATATCTGTCAACAGTTGAATCTAAAAACAAAATAAATGAACAAGCAGAATAGAAATAGACTCATAGATACAAAGAATACTTGATGGTTGCCATATGGAATGGGGGTTCAGGGCATGGGTGAAAAAAGTGAAGGAATTAAGAAGTACAAATTGGTAGTTACAGAATAGTCATGGGGATGTAAAGTACAGCATAGGGAATACTATAATCAATCGTATATAATAAAGCCCTAATATGCAAATCGACTGAACGGAACAACCAGTCACTATGACATGCACTGACCACCAGGGGGCAGACATTCAATGCAGGAGCTGCCCCCTGGTGGTCAGTGTGCTCCCACAGGGGGAGCACCGCTCAGCCAGAAGCTGCGCTCACGGCTGGCGAGCACAGCAGCAGTGGGGAGCAGGCCTAAGCCGGCAGTCGGACATCCCTTGAGGGGTCCTAGACTGCAAGAGGGTGTAGGCCGGCTGAAACCCCCTCCCCCCAAGCGCATGAATGTCGTGCACTGGGCCTCTAGTATTCTAATAACTATGGTATCAGGTGGGTACAGGACTTACCAGGTTGATTACTTAGTAAGGTATATAGTGTCTAATCACTGGGGTGTACATCTGAAACTAATATGATTTTGTATGACAACTGTAATTGAAAAATAAAAAATGAATTAAAATTTTTTTAAAGAATATTGGGTGGCAGAAACTTCAGTTGAACCTAGAATTTCATTCTACAATCAACTACTTCTGAATTTGTTAAACTCTAAATTGAAATAAAGTAGTATTTCCCCACCAATTCACATTCCATAGTAACTTTATATTTAAAGTATAAATATGTACATATATGTTTATATATATATGTATGTATATATGTACATACTTTTAGTGAACTTGTTTGAATGAAAGAAATCTGTAATATTTTATATAACTAAAAATAAAAAATAAAATAAAAGCTATGTTAATGAGCCTTGGTCAGATAGCTCAGTTCGTTAGAGCCTCTTCCCAATTCGCCAAGGTTGTGAGTTCGATCCCCAGTCAGGGCACATATAAGAATCAACCAATAAATGCATAAGTAAGTGGAATAACAAATCAATGTTTCTCCCCCCCCCCCTCTCTCTCTCTCTCTCTCTCTCTAAAAATCAATAAAAAATAGGTTAATAGAAAATAAAAAATAAAGTAAGGCACTTGGAGGCCATTACTATCCTTTTTAAAAACAGTTTTATTAGAGTATAATTTATATACCAAAAAAATCACCCTTTTTATGTATACAATTCAATAATTTTTAGTAAATATACAGAGTTCTACAGCCATTACCAGGATTAAATTTTAGAACATTTTCATCAACCCAAAAAGTTCCATTGTGTTCATTCCCACTCCCAGCCTATGCAAACCACAATCTACTTCCTGTCTCTATAGATTTGTCTTTTGTGGGTATTTCATATAAATGGACCATATACAAAGTGGCCTTTTATATCTGGCTTCTTTCACTTGGCATATTTTTGAGGTCCATCCATGTGGTACCATGTATCAGTGGTTTGATACCACCTCTTAAAACAACATATTTAATTGGTCTAGTATTTTGAGATCAGACGCAGCTTCATGATTCTGATTTTCTAAAGTACCTTCTTTAAATAACTAAATGCATTATCTTTTTATTTTTTTCCTAGGATTTGATGGCTTTTGAACATCAGTGGACTAACTTCTTTGCTAATTTTGACACAGAAATTCCTTTCCTGCTGGAGCTTTCTGAATCTCAGGCGGGTGAGGTAAGTATGGGAAGGGTCAAAGGGAAAGAAGAAATTGGTTGATTTATTTGTTGTTTTTATCTTTACTTTTTTTTTTCAGAATACAACACTACCAATGCTAATTTGTTTTGGTTATTTTCTTAAGCTTTGTCTCATGCCATAAAGAAGTTTTTAACCCCATGTCAACCCCTATATAAAAAGTTGGGGGAGTCATGTTTCTGTACTTTTCTATAAGTCTACTCATTTTTTAGTGTGGTGGTGCCTCTGTCAGCTAGGAATTCTATTAGGCACTAATTAATACGCCTAGGAATAATTCTCCACCAGTGAGTAGTACACCTTTGTCAGTTGAACCTCAAAGTAACACCAAGCATCCTTTCTTGGCAAACAGTATTGAAGTTACTAGGTTCTGGCTAAGACTCACTCTGTGAGTAAACTGAAGTATCTAAATTAAGAACCAAGCCACAGGACTATCCCAAAATCTAGTCAACAGGAAGGACAGAAGAGCAGTCTTGAGCTTGCACTTGAGCCTACTGTGGGCTTGCACTGTAGGCCCTCACTTTTCCTGTGCTTTATCCAGAGTTGATCTTCATTGTCATGCATTTTGGGTTTACATCATGTTGAAAACTCACAATATATTGCTGTTATTTTTGTTTAAATAGTTATCTTTTTACTCTTTCAAAATATTATTTAAAAGATTTAGCCCTGGCCAGTGTGCCCAAGTACCAAAGGGTTGCAGGTTCGATTCTCGGGCAATGGCACATACCTGGGTTGCAGGTTTGATCCCCAGCTCCCGTCAGGACTTGTGTGGGAGGCAACCAATCGATGTGTCTCTCTCACATAGTTGTTTCTCTCTGCCCCCCCCCCCCCCCACACACACACACACTCCACTCTCTCTAAAAAAAACCAATGGAAAAACATCCTCAGGTGAGGATTAACAAAAACAAAAATAGATTTAAATAATTGTAAAATCTTACCTAGTTACCCATGTCGTTACTCTTCCCAGTGCTCTCCATTCCTTTATGTAGACCCAGGTTTCCATTTGGTCTGATTTACTTCTTCCCAAAGGATGTCCTTCAATTTTTTATTTTTTATTTTTTGTGTGGTGTGATTCTCCTGATGAGTAATTTTTCCAGCTTTTGTATATCTGAACAAAAATCTTTATTTCACCTTCATTTTTGAAAGATGTTTTTTCCATTTATTGAATTCTAGGTTGACAGTTTTTTTCTTTTCAGCTCCTGAAAGATGTCCCCTGTCTTTCTCACTTGCATTGTTTCTAATGAGAAGTATTTCATCTTTATCTTTGTTCTTTTGGTTCATAACAGATGAATTTTTTACCTCTGGTAGCTTTTAAGATTTTCTCTTTTATTACTGGTTTTTGAATCATTTGATTATAATGTGTCTTGCTGTAATTTCTCCATATTTCTTGCACTTAGATTTTCTTGAGCTTCTTAGATCTGTGGATTTATAGTTTTCAAGTTTGGGGAAAAAAATTCTGTCCTTCTTTCTTTTAGAGACTCAAATACCTCTATATTAGGCCACTTGAAGTTGTCCCATCTGTCACTGATGCACCTCTCAGTTTTTTAGGTTATTTTTTCTTCTCTTATTATTGGTTCTAAGAGTGAAAGATATTCAAAAAGGTCTACTCAGTGACATGTCTCTCCGTGCTTTTTACTACCTTGTTCTCATTCCTTCCTTCTTTTCACTCTTTTTCCATCCACTTTACTACCAATTGGTAACAAATCTCTTCAGTTTCTGGTGTATCTTTTCTGTCTCTTGTGCAAATGATCAGATACATGTGTATTTTCTTTTTTTAAAATATATGTTTATTGAGAGGAAGGGAGAGGGAGAGAGAGATGGAAACATCAATGATGAGAGAGAATAATTGATCAGGTGCGTCCTGCATACCCCCTACTGGGGATCAAGCCCACAACCCAGGCCTGTGCCTTGACCAGAAACTGAACCCTGACCTCCTGGTTCATAGGTCAATACTTGAACACTGAGCCACGCTGGGTGGGCCATGTGTATTTTCTTATATCCTCTTCTTTCTTTTATTGAGGGGTAGTATATATGTAGTCAATATCTACTTTGCTTTTTTCACTTAACAATATATCCTGGAACTCTCTCCAGGTCAGTTCATTAAGATTTTCCTCATTCTTCTTATAACTTGTAGTAATCCACTATGTGTATTTATTTATTTAATTTATTCAACCAGTCTCATGTATGGACATTTAGGTTGTTTCCAATATTTTGTTCTTGTAAACAGTAGCATAGTAAATAACTGTGCATATGTATTTTAATATTGTTGGAGATTTGTATACCTAGTAATGGGATTGCTGGGTCAAAAGGTAAGTGCCTATGTAGTTGTGTTAGATATTGCCAAATTTCCCTTCAGAAGGGTTGTACCAATTTGCATGCCTACCAGCAATACATGCAAGTGCCTGTTCCACCACAGTCTCACCAATAGAATGTGTTGTTATACTTTTTAATTTTTTACAATCTCATAGATAAGAAATGGTATCTTTTATTAATTTTAGAGAAAGAAGGAGGGGAGAGAGAGAGAGAGAGAGGGGAGAGAGAGAGAGAGAGAGAGAGAGAGAGAGAGAGAGAGAAACATCAATTTGTTGTTCCACTTATTTATGCATTCATTGGTTGTTTCTTTTTTTATTGATTTTAGAGAGGAAGGGAGAGGAAGAGAGAGATAGAAACATCAATGATAAGAGAGAATCATTGATCGGCTGCCTCCCACACCCCCCCCCCCAGTAGGGATTGCGCCCGCAACCCGGGCATGTGCCCCTGACTGGAATCGTACCTGGGACCTTTCAGTCCACATGCCGACGCTCTATCCACTGAGCCAAACCAGCAAGGGTGGTTGTTTCTTTGTATGTTCCCCAACTGGAGTTCAAACCCTCAACCTTGGCTTATTGGGATGATGCTCTAACCAACTGAGCTACCCTACCAGGGCATCTTGGTATTATTTTAATTTGCATTTTGTTTGAAGGCCATTTTATATTTTATTTTCATGTTTTTTTCCCATTTTAACATTTTACAATATTAACTGAAGTGGAGAGCATAGGTTTTAGGTCTTTTGTCCCTTACTTTTAAAGAGTCCTTTATATGTTTAGGTTATTAACTTTTTGTCTGTGGTATGTATTTCCTCAGTGTTCATCAATTCCTTTTTCTTTTTTCTTTTTTGGTCATGCACACTTTTTTAGTTTTATGTAAATTTATTAATATTTCCTTATATTCCCTCTGGACTTTGAATCATTGTATAAGTAAAGGCTTTCATCTAAGTTTAAATAGGAACTCACCTTTTTGGAAATTGTATGGTTTAATTTTTAAAATTTAGATCCATAATTCATTTGGGATTCTTGTATGTGTATGGATCTAATTTTACCTTTTTTTCCCAAATGCCTACTCAGTTAGAATCCCAGCTATTTGGTTCACACTAACTCTGTGACCTGGGACCACTTAATTAACTTTTGTGTCTTAGCCAACTCATCTCCAGAGAGGGGTTAATGATAGAATGAACCGCATAAGTTGTTATAAGGATTATTTGAGATAATAAATTTAAATGCCTATCACAGTCCAGATAGTAAACCCCTCAGTACGTTTTAAGCTATTATTATTTTAATATGTAAATAGGCTTTACAAATAAGTAAGACAAGTACCAAAACTCCAATTGATAAACATCTACAGGATGTAAATAACAGTAAATTACCAAAGGGAAATCCAAATGTTCATTGAACATATCTGAAATAACCTACTTCATTACTAGTAAAAATCAAAGAAATGTAAAATAAAACAATTATGAGGTACCATTTTTCATTTATCAACTTGACAAATACATTTTTAAGTGGACATTTAATGGACAGTGCTTAGGGTGATACCCTGAAATAGGCATAGTCATATAATTGTAAGTGGATCTGTACATTGATAAAACTTTTTTTAAAAACAATTTGGCATATTTAGTTCTGGCATTTTACCCTATAATTGAATTTCCTGATCTGCATTAAGGAAATAATCAGAAATGCCGTTAAAAGTTCTGCAAAGTTCTTACAGTATTATTTATTATACTAGTGGCCCTGTGCACAAAATTCATGCATGGGGGCGGGGGGTGTCCCTCAGCCCAGCCTGCACCCTCTCCAATCTGGGACCCCTCGAAGGATGTGCTACTGCCGGTTTACAGGGATCGGGCCTAAACCGGCAGTCAGACATCCCTCTCACAATACGGGACTGCTGGCTCCTAACCACTCACCTGCCTGCCTGCCTGACTGCCCCTAACCACTCTTCCTGCCGGCCTGCTCGCCCCCAACTGCCCCCCTGCTGGCCTGCTCACTCCAAATTGCCCCCCCTGCTGTCCTGATCACCTCCAACTGACCCCCACTGATGGCCTGCTCGCCCCCAACTGGCCCCCCTGCTGGTCTGCTTACCCCCAACGGCCCCGCCCCCATCAGCCTGATGACCCACAACTACCGTCCTATCCTGGCCTGATCACCCACAACTGCCCTACCTTCTTGGCCTCTAACCGCCTCTACCTCAGCCCTGCCACCATGGCTTTGTCCAGAAAAACGTCTAGAAGGTCTCCTGGAAGGTCTCCCAATCTAATTAGCATATTACCCTTTTATTAGTATAGATAGAGGCCTGGTGCATGGGTGGGGGCTGGCTGGTTTGCCCTGAAGTGTGTCCTGGATCAGGGTGGGGGTCCTGTTGGGGTGCCTGGCCAGCCTGGGTGAGGGGCTGATGGCCATTTTCAGGCTGGCCATGCCCCCCGGTGACCCAAGCTCCCAGCCTCTCCTTTTTTTTTTTTCTTTTTCTTTTTCTTTTTTTTCAGTGCCTCCTTAAGCAGAGGCTAGGGCGGGCTGGAAGCAGGTATCTAGGATTTATTTATCTTCTGTAATTGAAACTTTGTAGCCTTGAGCGGAGCCCAGGGCCGGCCAGGGCAGGTGGGAAGCTTGGCTTCCTCCATCGCCAGGGGCAACCCAAGCCTCCTGCTTGCTTCAGCTCCATGGCCGCCGCCATCTTAGTTGTGTTAATTTTCATACTCGCTCCTGATTGGCTGGTGGGTGTAGCAGAGTGATGGTTAATTTGCATGTTTCTCTTTTATTAGTGTAGATGAGTTAGTAGCCATGTAAATTTCTAGGAATAAAAGACTATTTAGTAAACTTTGGTACAATCATATATTATATGGATGTACCATAGAAAAAAGATTTGAAGAAAATGTACCAGAATGTTAACAGTTCTTAGAGATTGTATGTGGTTTTTATTGTATTCTAAAATAAACATATTAGTTATATAATCGGGGAGGGGAGGGCAATAGATGTTAGTTAAGGAGATTAAATTTTTGAACCCACATATCAATTTTTGATTAATGTTAAACCTAGCACTATGCACAGCATCTGTCAGTGTACTTCTTAAGTTCCTTGGATTCTTCCTCATTGCTGATTTTCAGTTCATTTGAATTAACATATTCTTTTATTGACAATATAGGGAAACATTTTTAATAAAAGAAAAGATTCCCACGTGGTTAGTAACTTGGACCATAGATGGTAGTTGTTCCAGTTTCCTTTCAGTCGTTTAAAAACTATAAAATTTGACAAGAATTTCTTTTCTTTACCTTTCTTTTTCTTTCCTTTTCTTTTGCAGCCTCTTGTCATTTTTCCTTTGCTTTTTTTTTGCTACCTGTCCCCAAAATTCATTTTACTATCCACCACATATATCCTTCCATGTTCTTATGATAATCTACAAACATACATCTCTTTCCACATACCCCCACACACAAACTATGTATATATACACTGAGTGGCCAGATTATTATGACCACCTCATGTCTGTAGGCAAATTAGCTATAATTTCCCTCTGAGGTTACTAGAGGGCCAGATCATTATAAACGTCTGAATAGCACAACATACCTAAGTATCATTGCTGATCAAGTTCATCCTATCATGTTGATGGCGTATCCCAATGGATATGGCTTCTTCCAACAAGACAATGCGCCATGCCACGGTGCTCGTATTGTGCAGGAGTGGTTTCAGGAACATGAGGGAGACTTTACCTTGCTTAGGTGGCCCCCACAATCACCAGATCTCAATCCAATTGAGCATTTGTGGGACGAAGTTAAAAGAGCCATCAGGCAGCTGGTTCCACAACCATCAAATCTCACAGAACTGGACAGTGCTATTCATCAGGCATGGTGTCAGATTCCTCGCATCTCCTTTCAACATCTCGTGGAATCAATGCCAAGAAGAATTGCCGCAGTATAGAAGGCAAAAGATGGCCCAACGAAGTAGTGGTGGGGTGGTCATAATAATCTGGCCACTCAGTGTATATTTATACATACTAGTTCATACAAATATACATGAGAGGTTTCGTGATTGTTTTATAAGATTATGATCTTGCCAAACCGGTTTGGCTCAGTGGATAGAGCATCGGCCTGTGGACTGAAAGGTCCCAGGTTCGATTCCGGTCAAGGGCATGTACCTTGGTTGTGGGCACATCCCCAGTAGGAGGTGTGCAGGAGGCAGCTGGTCAATGTTTCTCTCTCTCATCGATGTTTCTAACTCTCTATCCCTCTCCCTTCCTCTCTGTTAAAAATCAATAAAATATATTTTAAAAAAAAAAGATTATGATCTTAACATGTACAATGTTTGCTTCTTTTTTAGCCATTCAGAAGTTATTTCAGTCATGGAATGATCTCTAGCCATATCACTGAAAACAGGTAAGGTTCTTGGGAAAGAAAGGTGAATGGTAATAGAAAAAATGGGGTTGACAAAGGGTGGAGGTGGAGGAGCATCTGAGTCTAGAAGCTAGAATTATGAAAATATGAGTTGACTTTAGTCATCACAGGGTAAAAAATCCATATTCTGTAAAATTGTTTCACTGCTTTTGTATTTTTGTATTTTTTTAAATGATTTCAGAGAGGAATGGAGAGACACAGAGAGAGAGAAATATCAATAACATCAATTGGCTGTCTCCTGCATGCCCTCTACTGGGGATCGAGCCTGCAACCCAGGCATATGCCCTCACTGGGAATTGAACCCTGACTTCCTGGTTCTTGGGTCAACGCTCAACCACTGAGCCACATCAGCCTGACAGTATTTTAAAAAATATAGTTTTATTGTGAACTAGCTTTTAGAACATTGTAGCTTGCTGAAACCTAAAGAAAGGAATTTTTTATTCCATCCCAGCCCAGGAAAGCTAGAGGAAACAGAATGTGCAAGGGCTGGGCAGTGGCTTGTAGGGAATAAGTGACATCATCCAGTCATAAAGGTCCTGCTCCAGGAAAACATGGGAGCTATGAGGGTACATATGCATTTGTTTTCTTTGATGTGTTTCCTTCAGCACCACTCTTGTCATGATAATCAGGAGGGGATAGTTCCTCTGATGGATAAATGAGAATAGATCTTTCCTGTCTTTTCTTCCCCAATTCCAATCCAGTCTGATAGTGAGACAAATTACCCTGGCTGGGGTTCAGTCATCTTTTTCTGCCCAAAGTGTCACCTAGCTTGAATTAAGCTTCAGAAGAAAAATCAGTCATGTTTACTTTTAAGAGTCCTGTTGGCCTGAAGCTTAAGGAAGTATTTTTAAGAGTAATGAAAAGAAATGCAAAGAATTTTCCACATGATATACACTAAGAGCAATTTAAGGAAAGCTTAGATGATAGAGGAAACTCTCAATCTGTTTTAGCTATTATGACAAAAATACCATAAACTGGGTGGCTTATACACAAACAAAAACACATGTATTTCTCACAGTTCTGGAGGCTGGGACGTCTTTGATCATGGTGCTGGCAGATTCAGTGTCTGGTGAGGACCCACTTTCTCATAGATGGCTGTTGTTGATCTGTAACCTCACATGGTAGAAAAGGCTAGGAATCTCTCTGGAACCTCTTTTATAAGAGCCTCTTCTATAATCCCTTTAATGAGGGATCCATTCTTAGGAGCTAATTACCTCCCCTACGTCCTGCTTCCTAATACCATCACTTTGGGGGTGAGAATTTTAACATATGAATTTATGGGGACACAAACATTTGGCCCATAGAAGAACTATGTTTTAAAAATAACCTTTCGTCATTCAATATTTATTGAGAACATATGAATAATAAGAGATACATGGTTAAAAAATAAAACAGACATGGTCTCTGTCCTCATGGAATGTATAGTGTGGTGGAGAAAGAAGACATTAGACAAGCAACCTCACAAAGAAATATATAATTACAGCCCTAGCTGGTTTGACTCAGTGGATAGAGCCGTGGCCTGCGGACTGAAGGGTTTGATTCTGGTCAAGGGCACATGCCCAGGTTGTGGGCTCGATCCCCAGTAGAGGGTGTGCAAGAGGCAGCCAATCGGTGATTCTCTCTCATCACTGATGTTTCTATCTCTCTCCCTCTCTCTTCCTCTCTGAAATCAATAAAAAAATATATTTTAAAAAAGAAATATATAATTACAAACTCTGCTTGGTGCTATGAAAGGAAAAAGAGCATGGTACTATGATGACCATAACTAGAGAGTGTGACCTTTGGGAGAAGATCTGAATGATGAGTAAAGACAATTGAGAGAAGAGAGAAAAGCAGTGGTCCTGAGATGGGAACATAAGGAACATAAGAGAAGATGAGTTTGGCTGGAGTATGGGAGTTGGGGCAGAGTGCCTTTACATAGACCTAAAGAAGTTGGCCAGGATAGGCCATGCAAGTTTTTGTTGGTCATGTGAAAGGTTTCACCCTTTCTTCTGAAAATAACATAAAGGCTTTGCATGTTTTAAAGATCATTCTCACTGCAATGTAGAGAATAGGCTATAGGAGGGTGAGAGTGGAAGCAGGGAAACTACGTGGAAGCATTGCAGTTGTCCAGGGAAGAAACAATGGCAGCATGGTCTAGGCTTGTGGCCATGTAGGTGGAGGGAAATGGAAATGGTGAATTTGTGTTGTTGATTGGGTTTAGAGGTGAGGGAGCAGGAGAAGTCAAGGAGGCCTCTCAGGTCTGGCTCAGCCTCTGGATAGATGATGGTGCTATTTACTTACTGCCACTCTAGCCCTAATAGACAGCCATTTGTTCTCTTTGGTAATCACTCCACACAAGAACTGGAAGGTGGGGGTGGATCATGAGAGAGGAGAAGAGGGAGCAAACAGCTGAAGGTAAAACTCTTAGGAATATGCAGAGGCCAGGTAGAGGAGGAGGAGGACTGATGAAGGAGATTGAGAAGCAACAGCTTTTATAGGGGGGTGAGGGGGGATGTCAGGTGCTTCTAAGAGACCAAGAAAGGGCAGACTAACAACTGTCCATTAGGTTTGCAGTATGCTGCATGAAAGGCATTTGGTGACTTTTGCAAGAGCAATTTGAATTAATTGACTAAGGGGTGCCAACTGAAGTGGGTTGAGAAGTGAGTAGAAATTGAAAACAAAACAAAACAAAAATGCACACACAAAAAAGACCAATCTAGCCAAGAGAGGAGGGAAGAAGGCACTGGGTACAGGGGCAGATAGGTGTGATGGTAAGAAAACTTGCAACCCTACTCTCCTCCTTCCCTCCTGAAAGTTACTCAGGAATTGCTAAGGGCTCTATTGTAGTCAGTCTGCAGTCTGAGTATCACAACTGCTATCATTCTCTAAAATTTATATTTCTATTAAAATGCTATTTTATAAAACTGGGATTTTGCTCCATCACTGCAAATTTATTGAACTTTGTCATCAAGAAGTAGAACAAGCCCCACCAGTGTGGCTCAGTGGTTGAGCAAAGACCTATGAACGAGAAGGTCACTGTTCGATTCCCAGTCAGGGCACATGCCTGGGTTACAGGCTTGATCCCCAGTAGGGAGCGGACAGGAGGCAGCCAATCAATGATTCTCTCTCATCATTGATGTTTCTATCTCTCTCTCACTCTCCTTTCCTCTCTGAAATCAATAAAAATATTTTTTTAAAGAGGAAGTAGAACAAGCTGAAAATAAAAACCTGGCTTGGGTTTAGTTATGTCCCTAAATGACTAATTTGAATGCATCAGTAGGAGGAGTCTGTGACATCTGGCATCCCTTCCCAACTAGCAAGGAGCATTAGGTGGATGATAACTGACCACTTTGCTGAGACTGCATAATGCCACTTAGAAAAGCCCGAGAATTCACTCACTGGGAAGGTGCCCAAGCCAGGAGTCTTTTCTAATCACATGTTTTTAATTTGCCCCTCTAGCCCTAATAGACAACCATTTGTTCTCTTTGGTAATCACTCCACACGAGAAAACCTGAACACTGGCAGCTTTAACTTCCCCTCTGAAGGGCACCTGGTACGCAACACTGGTCCCAGTGGGAGCTTTGCCAAACACATGGTGAGTGGCTTGACTGCCTGATAATTTGATAAAAGGAACATTTTATGTGAGTGTGTTGACTTAACCTTGAACGTGAAGTTGGAGTGAAAAGAAGTGATTTGAAACTGACTATCTGTATATGTAAAAAGCCAGCCACTGGATGCTATAACGACCAGAACGATTGGTCACTATGACGCCACTTCGGCCAGCAAACCAGCCCAATCTGGGGATGGGGCCAGCCGGCCAATTCCCGCAGCCCCTCCTTGCAGCTGCCCCACCCCTGATTGGCCTCTCCCACCCCAATTGGCCCGCAGCCCCTCCCCCCGGCTGTCCCCACCCCTGATTGCCCCCCCCCCTACCCCAATAGGGGGCAGGGGTCACCAGCCAATCTCCTGCAGCCCCTCCCCCTGGCCAGCCCCACCCCTGATCGCCCCCCCACCCCATAGGGTGTAGGGCTGGCTAGCCAACCTCCTTCAGTCCCATGGAGAGAGCTAGCCAGCCAACCTCCCACCATCTACCTCCTCCAACAGGCCAGACCTCGAACTGCTCCAATTGGAGCGGGACACCACCCGTGCATGACTTTGTGACTGAGTACCAGGGTTATACAAGGGTAGTTATTTGATAGCATCATATTTAATATTTCGAATCACCGGATAGGAATATTCCACGTACCCGAGCCGTTAAAGTAGGATTATAAGAATCATCACATGACTAGAATGCTTAATTTGCTTCGAAATAG